GTCATTTTCAGGACTTTCGTCCCGGATTCAGGTTTTCGCACATATGCCATGTTGACCGCCATGGTCATTTTACCCTAAAACAGTTGAGATTACCTGTCCTAAATGAATCGCATACAAACTCATATACAGGTCCTAGACTAATAATGGTTTTTGTTTTTAGAATGCCATCATATTGACTATTGTTCAAAGCCATATCCCTTAACTAGGGGGCTCGCCCAATATCTCCCCCCAGCATCTTCAAAGAATAAATCTCTTCCATTTGATGAAGCAACTACATTTGCAGCCTATCAAAAACAACCTGTAGATGACGGCCTGAAAAAAGTTGTGCGCTGTTTAAAGAACCCTTTAAACTTATTCCATGAAATTATTCTTCGCGCTCAATTTTCTGTCACAATTAAATTGGATTCTGGCGACATCCAGCCACTGTATTGGGAGCTGACCATCAGAGCGGCTCGTATAGACCTTCATTGTGGACTAGATGCACTTGGAGTTATTTATCAAGGTCTCTTTCACAGTAAAATTTTATTAAAGCATGTTCAGCAGATTCTTGATGAAGATAAAGGGAATAATGCATGTGCTGATTTAAAAAAGTCTAGCAAAGAAGTACAGAAGCTAAGAGAATTGAATGAAAATCTTCTAAACTTAAACAAGTTCCTTGATTGTGTTTTACTACATTATTCCAGTTTGAACTGCAGTTTACCATCTAGTACATTAATTAAAGAGATAAAACACACAACAAAAAAGATATATCAAGTCATAAAACAGTTGAAGTCAGATAGCGTAGAAAGTGTGGTTCTTAACAGCGTTTTAACGGAAGAAGATGTTCTCTGCTCTGTACTTGGTTTGAACGATGATTTTGCCAACAGGCTTAGAAATTTGAGTGAAGAAATGAGACAGCACAAAACTGATATGTATTTCTTGCTGTGCTTCATAAAGGAAGGTTATGATTCCCTTAACGTAGAAAGTTTGCATGATACTGATGAAGTAGCTCGCTTGCAGAAAATGGGTTTTACAGAAAACCGATCAAATGTTATTGCCAAGTGGATTGCTGAGCAGCCTTTTCCCAGACACAAATCCCTTTTCGCTTGGGCTCAGATTTATATAGAAAACTTGTTCAAGTATGATATTTTTTTAAATGATCATGTTAGCAGATTCCCATACGAAGAACATCGCTTGAATGAATGGTTTAGTGTGGATGCAGGTTGTGATGAAAGTGAGGATGGTTGTGTGTCTCAAGTGTCTGTAATCAACACAACTACACATAAAGATGCCTGTCGCATAGCTGACAGAACGAAAGCGGAATTCGAAGCGAACAGTCCAAAAGAAAACTTTTATTTCCATGGCACTGATCACAAAAGTGCTCAAAATATTCTTGAAAATGGCATCAATTTGCGTGAAGGTCAAAAAGGTTGCGACTTTTCTCACGGATGTGGGTTTTACGTAGCAGATAAGTTTGAGTGTGCCCTAGAATATGCAATGAAGAGCAAAGCTGCAGCTGTAGTATTGTTCAACCTTAATGATGATTGTTTGAAGAAAGGTCTTGATTTATCTGATCCCGAGAGGCATCAGGACTTGCAATCTGTGAGGGAGTATTTCCAGTCTGGTGAGCCACGAAACCACAGACTAAGTAAGAAACTATACAAGAATGTAAAAAATTGCAATTACATTATTGGGCCAATAAGCAGAGATGGTATCTCGAGGAATAACACATGGGAAGATGTGCAGCAAATTTGCGTAAGAAACCAAAAAATGGCCGATGAAATTGGACGTCCACCACATGTAGTAGGCATTGTATTTTTAAATTTGGAGGATGCCCAGTTAGCTCGCAAGAACTAATCTGTAAATTCAAAGTGAGTAAATTGCAGTGCATATCAATTTATCATGTGCATTAGTCACAGTGATCAATTTATTAAAAGTGCCTCTATAAAACTCAAATATGATTTTTGATATGTGGAATATTTGGATAATTCTAACAAGAAATGTAATATATTTTTAAAATATGGATATGTTGTCATTAGGGAACTAATTTGCAATTCTCCTAATGACGTCATGTCTCGTAACTTCGACATTGAAAAATTTGTCAAACATGAGGTTTTTGCTTTGGAGATATATTACATTTCCTCGTAGAATATTTGGAATATTAGTACTTAAATTTACATACTAAAAATCATATTTGGGTGAGTGGCACTTCAATGACTGCTGAATCTGTGAGTGTATGTTTGCTGGTCAAATGTTGCAGGTTGTAGCTAAATGATAGGGTAGGTAGATATAATTTCGTGATCTTTTCAAACTTTTAGGGACCGGTCATTATTTATGGCGGGGGGTGGCACCGAAGAGAAAAGGGTTGGGTAAACAAAATTTTGAGTGAG